AACAAGTCAGAAACGGCCTTTAGTAGAGAAACAGTTGCTAATAAAAAAGAGCAAACTATGGGCGCTGGTTGACAGGCCTGTTGAGCAAGAGCGACCACTTAACTAAAGTAGTTAAAGTCAGATAGTTTTTACACCCACGAGGTAACACTTCCAGGCCGATGCTATTATGCAGCCAATCAACGTTTAAAATACAAAACAATGCGACGGGATTTCTCTCTGAATAAACAGACTCTTGCTCTCGGTCCACTAAGAAAACCGTCCATTTTAAGACGCTAAACGCTGAGGGAAAAGTCGCAACATAAACGAAAACGACATTGGAATTCGGTTTATAACTATAAATGTAAAAACGTGAGATAAATGGATCGCATGTGGAGGCTCGTTGAGTTTGTTTGCAGTGAGCTAGCAGGAGTGCTAATCTCACGCGCTCTCAGGCCTGGGTCTCTCCCGGCAGGGCCGAGTCTCACCCGAGCCGGTTCAGGCATCTTTCCGCGGGTGGTCCCTACAAAAAAGCAGCCGCGTTTGGTAAATAAGGTACTTATTTACCTTGAGCCTCGGAACCAGGAGTGGTTTTGCAGGAAATAGTGTATTTTAGAGCTCCTCACTGACCTGCACGCTAGCTGCAAACACACGCGGAGAGCAAGATGGAAGCGAGAGAGGATGACGGAAGTGACGACAGGACTGAAATGCGACAGTGGGCTGGATCCAGAAACCATTCCTGCCTGCCCTGCGCAAGTCTGGGCCAAGAATAGTGCTCAGCCAGCGACGTCGGGTCCCTTTTGTGCGGTATTTGTGTAAGGCTATAATGTATGTTGATTTTGCCAATATGCATTGTCAAATCAATACGCCTTTTTATAAGCATTAATATAATCTGTTAGAAGAAGTCTAGCCTATTTGATGGTAGATTTACTGCTTGGTGGAAAATTAATTCAATCAATTGAAGTGTATTAATAGATACAGAACGATATTTGCACATTTTGTTCCGTTATAGGACAATACCGGATAAATGTGGATAAATTCAAGCCTTCAAAAGTAAGACTATCAATTATTTTACTAATCGAAAGGACTGTAAATCAACCAGGCCTGTTTTTCAGGGATAAATGCGTTGACTTTCAGAGGTAAATGTGTGATCTGGAATGCTGAAACGAGATAAACAAGTGTATTTTGCAGCACCTATAACCTCAGTTCAGTTGTTATTGTATATTTTTATTTAAATAAATAAATGTAGGCTATCATAAAGAGCTCAATCTTATATCAGAATGTAGCTATATTCACATTGCATGAAATTATGAAGTCTGGAATTGCAGATGTCAGAACACCTCAGAGAATTGAGGAAGAATCGGCGAGCTTTTTCCACGTGGATGCAAATCTAGAAATAATTTGTGTCTGTCACTGTGGAAGTAACCAAACGTTCGGTAGCTATTACTGGGGAATATGTTAAAATACATTATTTTTCCACTAGGCTACTCGAAAGATTAGAACACGCAGCCTATCAGAAAAAGACTGTGAAAGCCTACTGGTATTACTACATCACAATGGAGCTACTATTTAAAAACATTACTCCTACTTGGAGAGCAGCAGAATTTTTCAAGCACTTTCGAAACGCACACATATACCCATTATAACTTTAAACCGGTTTTATTTCGTGCATGTGAAATTTATTGTAGAGTACGTCCGAATCCCTGCAGTTCACATTATATTCATGGGACTTGTCACCCAGAGGAGCCGTGGCAGGGAAGTGCTTTCATGGTACCCCGTGGCACGGAAAGCGCCTGCTAACCCCTCTGGGACTTTAGAAACACTTTAGATGTGGTTTAACCACACATACAAGCCCTGACCCGGCTCACTGCGCCCCGGTTCTCAAAAACTCCATTTCATTCACTCGCACGCGCAGAATAATTAAACCACAGCCAATATGAACATCACTGCCAGTTACTGTGATGTCGGATTGCGCATAGGCTTCTGTCCTCCTCAATCAATAGGCCTACAAACACCCAGCTGATTTATTTATAAAGACTGATTATATTTTAAAAACTAGATTTTTTTTTTTCAAATCCAATGTAGGCTATTTAAAAATGTGTTCTGTTCACCTGAGCTCATTTATCTGCATTAGCCTATCTGTTCAGGGTAAATATAATAATGTCCTGACCTGATGAAAGTTCACTTAGCTGCATACGCGTTCTGACCTTCTGACTTTCTGACCTCGAGCTTCACAATTTATATAGGCTATATATTTTTTTAATTGTGCCGAAATATGCATAAAATATTTTTCAGAAGATAAATTTGCATTCTGCATTCGTCTCTAATGTAGCTAATATTTCTTTATCTGAGTTAAAATAGTCTAACGTCCTTTTTTCACTAAATAGTTTAAGCATCTTATGTTCGCCTTTTGATATATTCCAAATATAGGCTATAATTTGGCTAACTCTTTGAGTTAAACCTATTTTAGCTATAGCTACAACCATGATTTTTGGTATAAAAACCTTAATATCAGTCCCTAACATCAAGACTTTTTTCCCCAATCCCCAAGGCAAACACTGCAAAAATAGAAAAAATGAACCGGTCACGTTAATTAAAGATTGAATAAAGAAATATTTTGTTCGAGACGCTTTTATTATGAATGTTTTTAATATTATGTATAGGCTATAAATATTCAATAAGTTATCAGTCAGATTATTATTAAACTAACCACAATAAATTACATCAACCCATTGCTTGCAAAACAACTGTTTTTTTTTATATTTGTAAAGCAATAATCCGGAACAAAAACACTATAGGCCTAGAATTTAGGCTACATTAACATGTTAAACAGATAAAAGGATTTAAAGTGGTGTCAGTATGATCTGAACTGCCGCGAGATGGCACTCTCACAGCCTTTAATAACTGCTGGATGAAGTAAATATATGTTAAATACACAAGCCTGACCACATGAGTTACCATAAAACGGCCATCAAACCGGACCAGATGTTTTTGTAATCATACAAAAATACCCCTTATACCCACTGCATCCTCCAGAACCAACATGGAACTGTAATAAAAAAAGGAAAAGATAATTCATTTTGAGAAGTTCGAAAAGACCTTTATTTTATGTCGGGTACAGGAGTTTCTATGGGTCAGCGTTGTGTGTCTTTTGGACAAGTATATTTTCATCACTCCTACCACAAGTTGTTTTAGTATCCAACTTTATATGCAATTTCTCTATGTTTTTGTTTTTCTTTTAAGTGGCAGAGCCAGTTGACTCTTAATTGGCATAGCTAGCGTTTTGACTGTAATCATACAAAAATACCCCTTATACCCACTGCATCCTCCAGAACCAACATGGAACTGTAATAAAAAAAGGAAAAGATAATTCATTTTGAGAAGTTCGAAAAGACCTTTATTTTATGTCGGGTACAGGAGTTTCTATGGGTCAGCGTTGTGTGTCTTTTGGACAAGTATATTTTCATCACTCCTACCACAAGTTGTTTTAGTATCCAACTTTATATGCAATTTCTCTATGTTTTTCTTTTAATTGGCAGAGCCAGTTGACTCTTAATTGGCATAGCTAGCGTTTTGACTGGCTATGTTTTTTAGTTTAGGCCTACAAAATTATTTGTAAACTAAAGGTTTTATTATTATTATTATTATTACAGTTGTGAATAATAATAATTATTATAATTATAATAATGCAGTGAAGATATTATGACATTAATAACTAAGTTTATTTAAACAAATAATAAATTAATTACAACAACACAAAACAATACGCACTTTAATTGTTTAATGCAATGTATATAGGCTATCTAAAAACATCTATAAATAGTGCCTTGTTAATCTCAACAATTAGGTGTCACACTTGATAGCCTTTCTATTTAATACTATTCAGCTATTGAGCTAGGCTTTATAGGCTCACTTTGTAAAAACAAACGTGGGAAAGCAAACAGAAAGAAAAAGACAGACATTCTCCCTAAAAGGAGGAACAACAAATTAAACAAACACTGTACAGCTAAAAAAAAATTAAACAAACAAATAAAAACTACAAACGATTTTGATTCCGCGTGTGATAATTGAATTTTAATCCTGTTAATATTTAATTTTGATGAGATATGGATACTTTTGGGTGTGTATTTTCAAGCAGCATTAACTTTTTCATGAACCTTTTAATGCTTTAATATAATGCTTTAATTATTGTCATGTATTGGCCCCTTTGTTTTAACTGAGGCCTGTTTGCACGTTGGACGCTTATCATTTTGAAGCGCACTGCGCACGGCTTTTTTATGTGCAAAATCATGACAGTTCAGAAACGACCAATATTTCAGTATACTCTCACAAATATGCTACTGTTTAACATTTTTAAAATAACAGGGAGACTGCTGCCCGACCAGATACCAATGGCTAATATTAATTATGAATATGACAATGTTGGCCCTCTCGGAATAGGGCAGACGCGCATGTGCCCTGCTTTTTCGCAAGCTAGAATGCTCTTTCGTGATCCGCGTGACTGATGCGAGACTTTTTTTCCATTACCAATGGCTCGCGGATGATCTAGAGCACTCCCGTGTCACGCAAACTGCGATGCGTACTGAGGCAGATAACCGAGTGGATGTTTTGAAGCATTTCTGAAACCACCAACAATTCCATTATGTCCGCATTAAACGCCATGCACCTGAACAGACATACAGTAAAAAAAAAAAAAAAAACATTTATTATGGGTTTCACCCTATTAGGAGAAATGTAACAATAGCAGGGAGGGTCCTACCATAAAGACGTGCTTAATTCGCTGAGCTTCTTACATCTTCGAGTCAATAAGCTTTTAAAGAAGAGAGTAAAATTCCCACAAAACCAGTAAGCAGTGGTGACCGCTTAAAGATACAAATGAACCTCGCAGTTCTTTAGATTATTTTCCAAAGACTGATATTTTTTATCTCTTCAATAGCAGCGGTGACGCTGTTTTGTCATGTGATCAGCGAGCTGGTATAAAGCGCATGGAAAGGTCCGCCCTCTTTGGAATCCTGGTCTGGCCTTTAGGAGGGTCTCCCCAGACAGAATAAGCGCGTGGATGTTGGGATTTGGGCGACTTCTTGATTCCGTGCCGATAGTAATCCATTAAAAGCCTATGGCACTGGTGACACACTGGCACGTCCTCTCCGCCTCTCCCGCATCTGCTCGGCGCGTCTTATGAGTTCTCTCGAATCGAGAGCGCAGGCAGCACGCAGGCTCAGCACACCGTAGCCCATCGGAGACCCGAGAGAGCCATGACTTTGAGCTCCGAGATGTCGGATGCGTCTGTGCTCTCGGAGGAGACCGACATCGACGTAGTCGGAGAGGGAGATGATGGCGACGGCCAGACGCGCTCCTACGTGGACGAGGTGTCTCAGATGCACGACGAGATCCTGCTCGGCGGTTCACCGTCATGTGTGGATGCCTCCGCCGCACGGGACCCCTATAAGCCAGCAAGTAAGAACACCCTGGTGAAGCCCCCATACTCCTACATCGCACTCATCACCATGGCAATCCTCCAGAGTCCCAAGAAGCGCCTGACGCTCAGCGAGATCTGCGACTTCATCAGTAACAGATTTCCGTACTACCGGGAAAAGTTTCCAGCTTGGCAGAACTCTATCCGGCACAACCTGTCCTTAAACGACTGCTTCGTCAAGATACCGCGGGAGCCCGGGAACCCCGGTAAAGGCAACTACTGGACACTGGACCCAGAGTCCGCCGACATGTTTGATAACGGGAGCTTTCTACGCCGCCGGAAACGCTTTAAGCGCCAGCAGGTGCCTGAACTTCTCCGCGATCACGGAGGCTTTCTCCCCGCGGCCGCTGCGTACGGCTACGGACCTTACGGTTGTGGATACGGTCTGCAGCTTCAGTCTTATCATGCGCATTCTGCGCTCCTCGCCTTTCAGCAGCAGCAGCAGCCGCTGCCGCCGCCGCCCTCGTGCCGGCATCCTCACACCGGAACTCTCATCCCCGCGCCTTCCCTCATGCCAAACACTGCGGAGCTCACCCGTTCCCGCTTCTATCCTCCTCTAAGCCCCGGGCTTTCTTCCCCCATACAGACTGCGGCTAAGTCCCCGGTTCACCGTTCACCCTTCTCCATAGACAGCATTATCGGGAGCTCTTTAAGCCCCACGCACTCGCATTGTGCCTCACGGACTTCCCCAGTGGTCCCGGTGCTTCCGCCGACCCTCGCGTCTCAGCACTCCCCAACCCCACTACCGGGAGTCTTGCACGGACCGACGTCTTTACACGAAACCTACGCAAACCGGATTGTCAGTGGCACTAGCGGCTGTTAATTTTTTTTTCTTTTTTTTCACATTTTAAAGCGATACACTCCTGTGTTTAAGGTAGGATTATTTTTGTATTGTTTGTTTCACGCAGCTGAATGGTGGACATTAACACGTTCGTGCCTATATTCAAGCTGTGAAATATGAATATATATTTATGTTAACATTTTAGTTCAATCTAATTTCCGCCCCCACGAACTTTTCGTTGTCGGTGTGATTGTGGTAATCACTGCATAGGGCGTCTCAGGACAACATTTTTAACAGGCTATAAAATAAATTGTCAAATGTCTAGAATGATATATTTTGTGTGAAAACACAGATGTTTTCTAGTTTGGCAAACTGATTTTATTATTTGTACTTTGTAATGAAAATTCACAAGAGTGAAAATCGAACATTTTTTATACAACGTGTACTTCTTCAGTAGCCTAATAAACAATGTACATTCTTTGATCTTGTATACTCGGAGTGTGATATTTTTTACACGGTCTGTTTTTCATTAATAATAAATATTGTTTTGCAAAATAAGATCGAGTGGAAATGACCTTATTGATAGTCTCAATAGCTTTAAATGCTAATAGGCAGAGCTGGTAGCCTAAATGATTTTCATCTGGACTACGTAATCACATTTTAAAAATTAAGTTCTTGTTATTAGATTAAATTACTTTTTCAAATAGGCTACTAGTAATCAGACTACAGTTACTTTTTTTATTGATTACATATTATTCACGTAATAGCAATAAATTATATTTATAAAATTGCCCACTGCTATACACTCAGAAAGTCTTCCAGTTTTGTGGACATTCACACAAAGAACAGTCATTAGTCAGGTGGCCACACAGCATTTGACCTCTGGATTTATAAAAATCATTTCAGGTTCAAGAAGTGTTTCAACATTGCATCAACTAGGCCTACTGATGAATACATTGAATTATCAGTCAGTGGGTTATTTAACCATGCATTACTATGTCTTTGGAAGGCTTTTGTCTTTCAAACACATGCACACATTCAGGTTATTCATCTGAACCTTTCACCTAAATACATATTTGAATAGTATAGCATCACATTTGCATGTTCACGGTTGTCTGGCGTTGGTTAATGGTCACATGACATGCAGGTAAACAAATAAAATATTGATTTTTAGTAGGTGTTTTATTTTGCTTGATGTTACTTTAAAATTATTTATTTTAATTTTAGCATACTTTTTATGCTTTTTAGATTAAATATTAGTTTTCCATTAAACTCAGGAATCCCCTGCAGTTCCTTTAGGAACCCCCGTTTGAGAAACCTTGAAGTAATGTAACGTTTAATGCACTTCATGTTGTTAATTACAACGAATGGAATATATTTTCTTACTCTTTGTATTTTTATATCAAAATGGCACAAGATTAACCTATTTAATACGGTGTGATAAACGAGTAGGCAAAACGTAATCTAAAAGTAATCAAAGCTTAGTCTGATTATATTACTTAAAATGTGTAATGTAATGGATTACGCCACTAACTATTGTGTCATTCAATTTGGAATCGGTAACGAGTTAAAATTTGTAATCTACCCAGCTCTGCAAATACACTCTAAAAATGCTGGGTTGTTTCAACCCAACTTTGGGTCAAATATAGACTAACCCAGCTGTTGGGTTAAATTTTAAAATGCAATTTTTAACCCTAAATTTTGGTTAGTCCATATTTGACCCAAAGTTGGGTTGAAACAACCCAGTATTTTTTAGAGTGTAGGATTATATGACTCTTACATTCTGCCTCTGAAACCAGGTGTTCACTTTGTCTTGATCCTCGTGTAGGCTATCCTGAAAAATAAATACAACAAGCACAGGATTAAAATGCATAAATGTAGCCACTTCTAACCAACAATCAAACTAACAGCTAACTACTGCAACAGTGACCTTCAGGAGCCATTTAAAGGCATATATTAAAGAAAACAACAACAAATACGAGAAGGTCGATGACGACAAAATTAAAAGGATAATAAAAGGTAATTAATATATATATATATATATATATATATATATATGTTACTAATAAAGAAGAGGTTGTGCAGTTCAGTTCGAGGGTCAATGATTGCAGTTTTTGCTGTTGCAGCATTTGACAGCGTCATGCATTGCTTGAGGAAAAATGGCTGTGTGAGACACGCGCGCGCGCGCACACACACACACACACACACACACACACACACAGAGGGAGATAGTGGAGACCCAGTTGAACTCTAATGCAAAGGTTATCATGGGGGCTGTTTTGAAATGACAAGCAGCATCGGGAGTATTTTGTCTCCGCTATATAATGAGATAAACTTTGTCCGTAAAAGACTTCTACTCTGCAGGATTATTGTTCCAGGATGCATTTGGAAAAGATAGTAGCCCATACGCCTATGGCTGTCCAGTTCAACTGAGGCCTCTGAGAGAATGACTGTGGCCACCTTTTTCAGAAGAAAAACTGACAGGTTTCGGTGCTCCCACACTCTTACGTATTCATCGATGAAATTACAAAGTTGAAACATTATTGTGATAAAACGATGGAACGCAATTTATTTCCTAAGGTAGAGCTGAGTAATTGTGAATTAATATTTTCAGGAAATATAAGCCTATAATTAACACAACAGCAGTCAAAATAAAAAAGTACATAAAATAAAAAGAAGCCTTATAATATGGTGGATTATATATTCTGTCATTCGGCCTACACTTCATGTGCAGTATTCGTGTTACATAAATTAACTGTATCTGTCTATTTCGCTCGATCAGTGTGATACTTTGAAAGATTTTAAGAGGATAATGTGATTTTTTCTTATCCCGTCATTACAACATTATTGTTAGCCTATATTCACTCCTCACTAACAGACAACAGAAACGGCGATGTCGGTTCCCCATCATGGCCTACATATCTCTATATGTTGTTTCCCACATTTATCTCCGTAATTGCTACTCAGCGACAGCACAGTGTCACTGGGGTGAGAAACGCGGTGTATCCCTGCCCTTAGGTCGGTGATAATCGGCGTGATCTGATCCAGCTGGCCGTGTTCATGGGAGTACACCGCTCTAACACTTTTTCTTTTTGTCATCTGCTGTCATTTGTAAGGACCAGGATTCAATTTACAGAGTGGGCTAGAGATAGTAAAAGGAAATCGGTCAGTTTCACAGAGGGCGTGCATGTGTGTCGAGATGCCGAGGCCAGTTTGCTGAACTTCACCAAATTCCATTGCCATCATAATTAACTGCTGCTGGGATGCTTATACGGGATAATGGCCTGTAATTATAGATACACTTCTTCAAAGGGACGACAATTAAGTCCACAATTAGAAAATGTTTGAGACCAACCCAGATGAAAAATTATTTTTAGGCAATCAAAGAGCACCACTGATGCGGTTCAAAACGAGCCGTGGGTCATCTTGATGAACCCCCCCCCCCCCCCCATATAACAACAATTATAAAAAAATGCTGCTACATAACCATAATTCAATTATTATTATTATTATTATTATTATTATTAGCAGGAGCAGCAGCAGCTATATTTTGCAGTTATTTGCTTGCTAATAAAATCATGAAAATAAGTCTGTGTTCTAAACTAACAGAATAATTTCTTCACCATAGACTTAAACTACGGATCACGAAAAAGGCGCTGGTGCAGATAAGGAGGGAAACTGCTTGTGCACAACGGCAACAAACATGAAGATAAAGTGTTTTTTTTCTAAACATATAACGATATATAACAGTATTACTAGTATACCAGTATTATTTTAGTCTCCTGTCAAAAACCTATTAAATATGCATCATCATCATCATCATCATAATAATCATCATCATCAATAATAATAATTCAAGCAATTCAGCAAAAATTCCACATCATATATGTTCTTTCGACAAGCTACAAGGAAAAAAGAAGAAAAAAAAAAACAGGAAGTTGAAGATTGAGTGGACTACACAGTGAGTGAATGTCTTTGTGGCCAGCATCAGACCAAAGAACAATACACAAACACTGGTGCTCATAATTTATGTTGTTACATCCACAATTCTACTGCTACTTAACCATAATTCAATTATTATTATTATTATTATTATTATTAGCAGGAGCAGCAGCAGCAGCAGAAGCTATATTTTGCAGTTATTTGCTTGCTAATAAAATCATGAAAATAAGTCTGTGTTCTAAACTAACAGAATAATTTCTTCACCATAGACTTAAACTACGGATCACGAAAAAGGCGCTGGTGCAGATATGGAGGGAAACTGCTTGTGCACAACGGCAACAAACATGAAGATAAAGTGTTTTTTTTCTAAACATATAAAGATATATAACAGTATTACTAGTATACCAGTATTATTTTAGTCTCCTGTCAAAAACCTATTAAATATGCATCATCATCATCCTCATCATAATAATCATCATCATCAATAATAATAATTCAAGCAATTCAGCAAAAATTCCACATCATATATGTTCTTTCGACAAGCTACAAGGAAAAAAGAAGAAAAAAAAAACCAGGAAGTTGAAGATTGAGTGGACTACACAGTGAGTGAATGTCTTTGTGGCCAGCATCAGACCAAAGAACAATACACAAACACTGGTGCTCATAATTTATGTTGTTACATCCACAATTCTAAACCAATTTAAATATAAAGAACAGAAAATTGGGTGAGTAGGACCAGTAAACCACACCAAGAGGCTGGAGTTTACAAAACTTAAACATACTGCAGTTTACAAAACTGGAAACAAAGTGCTGGAAATGTTCTTCTTTGTTTTCAAGTGTTTAGGATCGTGTGGCAATGCTGAGTTTGACCCAAGATCCCCAGTTAGAAGTTTATCAAGTGAGGTTTAAAGGTCATAGAGATCAGGGCTAGAGCCATAACAAAGTGTCTGAAAGCTAACTGTCACACACAGTAAAGCACACTCCACAATGACATTACAGCCTGCTCGTCATGACATCTGCAGTGAAAGTAAACTGGTTGTGGTACAGTAACAGAACTTATAGACAATTTAATTGTACAATATCAGTTTCATGATGCAAACTAACTGAATTGATCTAAAAAAAAAAAACAAGACTTTTGGTGAAAACAAATGCAGCCAATTTGATAATATTTTTATTTTAGATGTTACCACACAAATGCACATTCAGCTTGTATGAAAAAAAAGTTTACAGTGAAATCTGTTTTAGTTTAGAAGCACATTGTTAACCATGGTAAACAATAAAATGGTTAACTCAAAAATCTGACACTTCATAAAAATTTTGTGGAATTTCACATCAAAATACTGCAAAATTAAGAAGAAAAAGCTTTGCAAATAAGTTTCACAAGTTTGATTCCATATTAAAAGCAAAATTCACCTGA